TATTACAAAAAGTAAAACTTTCAAGAAGTTCCACAAAACAGGCCTAAAGAAGGAATCATTCCATATAAATTCAGGCACCATCTAAGCTACAGGCAAAATCTCAAGATCACCCACGTAAAATAGCAGCATGATATTGGTATGCTTGCAGCCTTGTAGCGACAAAATGAAGGTAAACGGCCACAGAGACCCAAGTGCACATCAGAAGGCAACATAAACAATGCTGAGAGCAATGCTGATATGCTGTAGGAACTTAGGTTACCTGCAACACACGAGTTCGGTATTCTCCCAACGCCCATATTGGGAAAATACATCTGTACGCAGCATACGTGATCATACAATTCTTGTTAAAGACTCCCATAATTTCCTGAAACGAAACAATGCGAAAGGCATGTGAAGATTAGAGATAATGGTAACATAATAAGGTAATATACTTCTTGTTGCAAAGGCTGTAAACCCCAGAAGAAAATCATAGCAGTTGGCACAATGAAGACCAGAATTTCATGCCATAAAGGATTTAAGTGCGTCTACATGATTCATCGCAAAAAAGATAAACCACTAACATGTCAACCAAACAAATGTTGGCAAGTAAAATGTTACACATACCTGTTGAGTAAAATCTCCGCTCTCCATTTGGGAATTTATCAAATATCCTGCTGCACGGTGCAATGGTGTTGGATCTCTCTTAGCCTGTTCCATTAATTTAGAAGTATATGAAAAATGAGAAAAAAATAAAATTCAATCATGATCACTGAGAGATGATGAGAAAAAAAAAATTCTGTCAGCATCAATCTTTGTTGATATAACCGTACCAGAAAGGAAAAAGAAAATAAAGGAGAAACTTCATTAATATCACCTGGTCGCAGCATATAAAGCTGCCAGACAATTAAAGGATTCAATTTCATTATCAATAGATATAAAGCTCTCTTTAAATGCAGCAAAACAAGGATCAATAAATAGTAGTCTGCAATGGCCCCACAGAGGTACTAGCCAACACCTTAATCCATCACACTATTTGGAAACATATTTTGCAACATAATTTGTTACTTACCTGTCCAGCATCTATGAGAGCTAACATGGCCCAGCCAGTGTTTACCACATGAGACCTGTTGCCTTCAAGATTTGAGTAGACCTGTAAAGAAAAGCATGTGAAAATTTGACGCAAACAAATGACAGATTGTAGAATACGTACTTAAGATAATTAATACTAAAAGTAGAGATAATAAAAAGAATTTTATGCTGGAATTGTTTAAACTCTTCTAACACACATACATACAACTATACAATGAAGCCAACCTTATTTTGGCATGAAAGGTAGCTCTCTCCCCAGCCACCTGAGGCAAGCTGTTTTGACAGCAGAAAAGTACAAGCTTTGCGGATGCTAGAACAGTTCTCAAAGTTCTTCCCTGCAGCTACCAACCCCTTCACCCCAAACCATATAGCATAGGTAAAGCAAACAGCCCATGAGCCATACCTAAGAAGTAAGCAATATAATGTTGTGAGACTAATAGCTTAAGCAATCTCAAATTCTTTTGGACATGTAATCCCAGAACATCAAAAGAAATAACAAACTCAGGAACACAATTAATACTGTATCCTCAAGGGGTAATTTGGGGCAAACCATGAGCCATCTGAGGCTTGCATTCTTTCAATAAAATTAGCTGCCTTCTTGATGCATATGTCTATTTCTTGCTGTCGATGCCCAGGATATAATTTTCTAAATGATGTCAATGCTTGGATTGCAGCTGAGGTACATTCCACATAACTGAGAAACTTGAAGTTAATAAAGAACAAGTTCAAGTAAAGCCAAAGGGAAATTATGCAATGCTGAAAGCTTACGGATAGTCAATAACAATATCACCAAAAGTTTCAGCGGGGTTGACTAACTGGCAATAAAAAATAAAAGATAAAAGTTAGAGGCATCACCATGGATTCAATATTTCAAGACCAAGTACCAACAAGAACTTAGCCAAGTTGGCAGCCTTGATTTTGAGTCAAGGTCAGAGGTTCAAATCTCTGCAATGCCAGGCAAACTAACATATTTGAGTACTCATAGATTTAGAAACATTGGTAGCACACAACAAATGGTAGCCAAATCCCACTAAAGAGTGAACCAGCATGAAGATGCTTCGATTCCCTGTTTACTGGGTGATTCTTTTAGCTTGGTAAATATTACATGCTTTGAGGAACTAGAAGTGATGGCCAATTTCTATTGGAAAATCATTAGCATGATATTACGGTAACAGGTGGCTAGAGTGGGAATGGAATATCATTAGCATTTAGCAAGATATTATAGTAATAGGTAGCTAGAGGTCAAGTCTAGACCAAAAATGATGAAAAAAAAAAGAGGTAACAAATGTTCTTTCCAGGTGACAACAATAATAACAATGATAGTGTTCAATATGATATTCATATGATAGGGTTCAATATTTTGCAAAATCTTTCATGAATGAGGTAGATGTTATGAGCAATATCTTAACAAATTTTCAGAAGAAATAAAATCAAAGAGAAAATTTAAAGGAAAGGAACAAGGATAAGAAAATGGAGCCCATTAAGAACGCTCATTTGAGCCTACCTCCAACCAAGGGTAAGATCTTGTCAGCTCATAAGTTGCAAAGCCACCATCTGCATTCTGCAAAGATGAGAAAATAAATCCCATTAACAAATCAAGAACATCCTTATAAATAACCTGCTCCACAGATATAACTAGAACTGCAGGAAAAGGTAGAAACAGCCTGATTTATGAGTTGCATCATATTCTATACAATGTCAGGTACACATGTTTAGGTAGCTACTACCTTTACACTATCTCATCTTATTTGTCTCCTATGGAAATTTCACAGTTATGGTACATCTGTTTTTCCTGATCCATTCAAATACTTTATAAAGGAAGGTTCTATTGACACCAAGTTTTCAAGAAATAGAAGAATACACAAACATGTGCATGGTGCATAGATGCACAAGCAATTCATTCATATAGAAAACAATTGGCATTTTCCCCAATTCTTCATAAAGGAAGTTCCATAACAAGTTTTCAAGAAATATAGATGCACAAGCAATTCATTCATATAGAAAACAATTGGCATTTTCCCCAATTCTTCATAAAGGAAGTTCCATAACAAGTTTTCAAGAAATAGAAACAAGGGAAAGGAAAACAGATTTTGTTCATTTATACAAAAATAATTTGAATTTATCTTGTAGGACAAACTTGAGGAATCTGCCCTCCTGGCTCTTGTGAGGGGATTAAGCTTAGAAAGCTAAGAATTTAGGTTTTAAGGTTCTAGAAGAATGGTTATATGATTTGCAATAAATTGAAGCTATGAATTAGAGCTTTAATAACAAAAAAGTTGCCAACTGTCAGAAAATAAGGCGTTGAAATTTTCTGGCAGCAGCAAAATAGAGCTTTAGAATTAATTATAATCAGGTAATAAGAGGAAAGGTGACATTATAGGTAAGGAATCAAGGACTAGAGAAGAGATGGAATAATAAAAGGGGAATGGGTTTTTTAAACTTCCACAATGTATAATAATAATAGTCATAATTAAAACATTTACGGCAGAATTTTGAGTTACCTGAAGTGAAAGAATCACATTTACAGCATCATATAATCTCTTTACATCTAAGGGTTCCCCAACAGTCTCTGATGGTAATTTTGATAACAAGAGAACAGCCTAGGCAAAAAGGAGAAGAATAAAACAATAAAATGTCAAGGAAAAATATATAAGCAAGAGAAGTTTCTATGAGTTTGATGCACAGTTACTTTTAGTCCTTCAGCTGTGCAGTCAGAAATGGGCCATCCATGATCTGCTGTTGAGAAAGGCCATGCACCTTTAGATATGTGGCGGTACCAAACACTAAGATCACCAGGGCAATTGTCTAAAACCTTCAAAGCAAAGTGAAAGGAGTCAATAAAGAAAATTTTAGGAGCTACAGAATAAAAATGTTCAAAACTGGTAACCAAAAAGCAGTGTAAATCATATAAAAAGAACCTGCGTGTTTTTAATATACGTGTGTGCCTTCTTTAGAACTGGACCATATTCTTCAATAAGATTGGCTGATATAATTGCTTGAACAGCAAAAGCAGTGTCCCATAGTTGACTTCCATTGTAACCCTGCAGCAAATTGATTATGCCTATTGTAGATTATCACAATCTCAGTTTGTAGTGCAAAAGTAGCACCCTGCATATAGTCACAGTTATAACATATAGATCCTCATAGTTAATATTTTGTAATGGTTCCACATGTTAAAGCCCCAAAAGAAGCCACTTTTAAAATTATTGACTGATTAATGATTTTACATATCATTATGTAATAGTGTAATACCGTTTATATATTAATAAGTTCCTAAAATTCTGGTAAGACTTTTTGCACACAGACAAGGGGAGGTAAGGTCAAAGGCTGACATTCACATGCCAATTGATGGAGTTACCTGCATTTTCATGCCGTCTTCAGCAAGCCAAAGATAATCATGAATTCTTGGGAGATGCAACTTAAAAGCCTCTGAATTTGGATCTTCAATCCAACAGCAAAGCATATTTAACACCTATTATCATGAAAAGGAAAAAAAAAAGAATGGATTGGGAAAAGTGAATTGTTAGAAGTAACTGGAAATTTTGGGAGGAAATGGGGAAAGGTGTGAAAGGGGATGCATGAGTTCCATTTTGTACTTGTTAATTACATCACATATAGCAAATTACAAACGTAAGATTAAACAAGAAAAACTAAAATTAAGAAAATATGAGTAATCTAAGCGGTAAAAAAACAGTAGAAGACTTAAACTAATTTGAATTTGAAAAAGTAGAATTTCCATGATTCTTAAGAAAAATCTTTCTTTTTCTTGATTTTCAAATGCAGACCTTGTTCACAGGCCCGATGCAGATGTAACGAGTATTCTCATCTTCATAGTGTATGTGCTCCATTACAGTAGACAGAGCCTTCTCTCTTAGCTTCTTTCCAGGCCAATGCATCAGAACAGGTTCAACGGCCTTGTGAAGTGTACCCCAAAGTATATCCTGTACCAATGGGTGTGGGTAGTACAGATCTTCCTAAGAAAAGAGACAAATAAAACCATTAAAAAAAGGATATGATGAGAAATGATTTACATTTGTCGATATGGAATCAGAAAACCCAACCAAAAATAATATTTTTCAGAAAGTTATGATGATGGTATTTAAAATGATATACACATGCTAGACAGATAGGGATTTATATTTTATTATAGAACTCTACCAACCTTGGCACACAGGTTGCGAGCTTCATTCCAATCTATTTCATGATAAGGGACATTGTAAAGTTCCTTTCTAAGAGACAAAATTGTTGGTGTGATTGGACCAGCAAACCTCTTTCCATATAGATATGACATTGGCAAATAGACCATCCGACAGTGACACCACATCCTGCCTGTAATTGAAAAAAAAAATCCCATTAATTTCAGGCTAGAACTAGTAGGCATGTATTTTTGACTATTTTTGTTGATGGATTAACGAAGTAACAAAATAAGATATTGAGAACATGCTCCACTCAGTGTGCAGAACAGAACTTTAAACTCTTTTTCTTGCTTAAATATCATGTTACTGGAAAGTGGGAAATAACATAAAAAGAATGCATGCTAACTTAGCACATCAAACATATAAAACCTAGTAAGAAATATCAAGCTTTGGATTTATCACCCACCTATTCCAAAACTCATTAATTACATCACTTATGAGAAGGATTATAGGAGAAAAGAAGGGAAGGCTACTTCTTAAGGTTAGTCAAAAACTCCAAGGCCCACATCGAGCACAATCATTCCAGTGTTATTAAGAAATTAATAATCAGGTGAATTTTTTTTTTTTCCTAATGCTACATTTGGGAGGGCAGAAGAAGAAGGGAATTCAGATCTAAGTTCCCTCCATTGTTGGGAATGATAACAATCTCAAGGCCAAGGTGTTATAGAGATTTTTATTTTTAAATAACTGTTAAAGACTAATGAGATGCAGAGCATGTCTATAATAAGAATCAAAAGACTTCCATTACTTTCATTTACTGCTTAAGACTAAACTTCTATTAACCAACTTTATGTGAATGGAACAAATGAAAGTTTTAATTTGCTTTTACAAGTTTTGTATTAGAAATGTTATTAATTAAGTTGGCATTGAAGTTCGCTGCTTTTATACCCTGCAGCTCAATAATATAAACCAGTGATTATGAAATAGACTAACTCTTGAAAGTATATCTAGGTTTAAGCAAGCTTGGTGAAGTATATCTTGGTTACAGTTACCTAGGTAAGGTATCTGACCAAGTAAATTGGTTCTCAC